ACCGGAGGCCAGCGCTCTACCTGCTGGGCCACCGTCCATAATAAAATACACAAAAATGTTGCTTAGCCCTCTCGAATTTCTGTTAATTTGGCAGTACCAAAAATCCAACATCATTTATTTCAATCATTTATCAAAATGTTCAGCGAAAAAAAAAGAAATGAAGAAATATCCAATTTCAGGCTTTCAACACGACCCGCTAATGAGCCAAGTTCTGGTTGGTGTTGTTGTTCCGCGAAACCCAATGAGTCAAAATTTATCTTGGAGGATGGCGACCAGACAAGTTGACAGGCCCAACCTCAAAGTCAACCTCAATAAGTGATGGTGAGGGAGGTGGGGAGGCCAATGCGGCCAAGTTAAGTGCGCAGATTCATTAATTTACATTAAAATGTAATTAGCGGTCAAATAAGTGGCAGGAAAAATACTGAAACCGCAAAATGTGCGAGCAGAGCGAAAAAAGGCAAAACCAATTGAAATGCAATTTAAAAATATTTATTTAATTGCTTTATTTTTGAATGAGTAAAACCATAAATAAATGTTCATATTTTTTAGTGTCGTAAGAGAGTTATAAGCCACTCCCTCAGTATTTTTGGCAAAAAACTATTTCCCTAATAACAATTGCGGTCTGGCATTTATAACAAGTAAAACCTTTTGCCTTTGGTTTTTTTGAAATCTCATTAGGGAAACTTTTACAGAACTTTGGTAGTCTAACAAAATGCTTGATGTTTAGGGCAAACAAAGCCTATTCCCTCCAAAAGCAAGCCCACTATAATTCTCGAATAGATGGAAAATATTAGAGGCTTAAAGCAAATAAAGAATGCCCTTCCACTTTTAAGAGATAAATAATTTTGTAACTATGCTTGGGTACAATATTAATTTTTGCAGAGTTAAATAGTTTCTTGAATATAATTGTTTGGTGTTATAAAAGTAAACCTATTGCAGTAAAATTCTGATACATAATAAATACAACTTATTTTGGCAAGGAAGAACTGCCTTTAAAAACGATGTCCTTTTGGCAAGGGTATAAGAAAGGAAATTTCGCGCTTGTTAACTATTTCCGCTAAGAAAATGGCTGCCTTGTTGAAGGTGCTGGCCACCCTCGGATAAGTATGAACAAGGCATTATTCTTTCCTCCCATTCATTTTTTTTAGCTTGTTAACAAATTTTATGCATTTCTTAACTTTCGGAGCCGAGTTAACGAGTCCCGCGCTGTGGAATTCAACTTGCTTATTATTATTTGCGGCGATTCTTTGACTGAGAACTCGCGGGAGGGAAAAACGCATGTTGATGGAGGAGGGCGAGTGGTGTGGCCTGCATTGTGGTTATCATACTTTAACAAGTTTTCAAAGAGCATGAAATTTCCTTTGGTCGAGTCCCCGGTCTGGTCTAAAATGCAACTTGGCCGCAAAAATGCAGAATGCAAAATGCTGAAAATGCTGCGTGCAGCAAACTTTTTATCGTGGCGGCCTGGCTAAAAAAAATCTCCAGCAAAATATGGCATTAAAAGCGACCCACGAAAGCCACGGCTTGGTCATAATGGAAAGAATGGCGATCGGGAAGCTGCTTCCCAGCACTGCAGGTGCATTGTCGGTGCGGCGGTCGCATTTTGTTAATTTCTCAGACCTGCCAAGGACCAAAAGGATGCCCAAGAAAGTCAGAGGACTCGCTCGACGCCGCAGCTCAGTTGTTGTGGGTGCGCCGGCATAGAAAACGAAAATGAATTCGTAATTAGATGACACCATCCGTGCGTAAATAATAATTTTTGCCAGTTTTTCCTTCTTCTGCAGAGCGACTCGCTCTGCCAACTGGCGGCTCATTCTGCTAGTTAGTTAAAACGCGCGAATGAGTTTTCTTGAGTTTTTCCTCCGCTTTTCCATTGTCAGCGAAAAATTCAGCTTGTGCCGAAGTTTTATATTTAGCCAGCCGGCGGCTCGGTGGGTTGAGGTTGAGCAAGTTTTTGCCCAATCGCTGCTCCAGAATACCCTGTATTATGTTTTTCATCTGGCATATTCAAGTAGAGCTTGTTGATGGTTTAATAAAACACAATCTAATTCAGTAAAAAGATTTACCTATATGTGGATTAGGCAAAATTAAAACTTCACAAAATAATAATAAATAAATAATAAATAATATTATACAAAAATTAATAATTCACTTATCTGGAAAGGCAATTGTATACAATTAGATAATTTCCTTTTCAAAGGTAATAAGTAAAAAAATTTTGAAGCTTTTAGTTCAGGATTGACACATCCAATTCCACAAATTATTACGATCTCAAAAACCTCCATAATTAGATAACCCCCAATTCGAAACCAACGAAATTAAAACTCCTCCCAGTTCGCTGTTGGCCAAGTTAGCAGTGCCATTGGTATCAACTCGCCGGCATCTTCTTCGCTCCTAGTTTGGCTGCTCATCTCGACTCGACTCGACTCTCCTCGAAGCCCGGCTCTATTTTGCTCGGTTCTGTTCCGTTTGTTTCTTTATCGCGCATTTGCCAAGTGGCAAAGTTTTCTCGTTATAAGTTTTGTAGCCTTTGTGTGTCTCTCGCGCAGCTCGAAGCTTTTTGCCGAGCCGAGCGCGATGCGAGAAAACTTTCGATATTCCTTGAAAAGTTTATGGCCCAGCGTCGAACGAGTCGCGAACTGCCGAAAAAAAAAATAGGAGAAAATAATAATGGAGCAGCCAGGATTCGACTTCAACACGATTTCATGCCACCCAGTCCTCGCACCGACCCACCCAATTGATAGTTGGCAAACAAAAAAATTATATTATTTTATTGTTGTTTGGCTGGCGCATAACTTTATGCCAAACACTTCGCTCACTGTGGGACTCGCATTATCCCAGCGAAAGTTTTTCTCTCTGCTCTGGAGTTGGGCAAATCGAGGAAGTGGCAGACTTCGGTTCGTCCATAACTTTGGCTCCATTTGCCACCGCATTCGCCGTATTTTGCTAAAGTCAGCCTCAGAGTCGGGAAAGATAAGGAAAACTATTTCCATATTCATATGCAACTGGCAAGTGCACTTTAAATTCTTGCAAATGAGTAGCGCTGCTCAATGCAGTTGAACAAGCATTCCAGATTTTGATTGCCAAAACTTGGTAGTTGGGTAGTTGGTAAAAAAAAAGTCTGATGATAAAGCCAATTTTCAAAAGTTGGTATAGGTACCATTTTAAAAAATATAATAAAGTATATTAATATGTACAGATATTTTAAGGTTTTTCAAGTTATTTGTTATTTAATTAAAACCCTTGATAAACATTTTATTAATAGTAAGTTAAATGTGCTGGTAAACAATTTTCAACTCATTATAATGCGCGCTTCGCTCCACTGAATATTATATGGCCTTAATGGATCTTCCTGCCGCTGACCAAAAGCGGATGCAGTGCATCAGCCATGTGCTGATTTCGAGCATATTGCCAGTGCCTCGGACCGACCAGCCATATGTTTGTAATTGCAAATTAAAATGGAATTTTTGTCATACGCCCCGCAATTAATATGCAATCGGCGATAAAATATAAACAATAATTAAGAACTTATTATGGACAAGGGAGTGGTGATTGGTTGGTTAGTGGGGAGTGGTTTTTGGGGGACTGGGGAGATTTATGCAGGAACTAATTTTCAAGGTCATTTGAATGCTCACCGAATACAGAGGGAGCCGCTGACACTGAGCATCCTATTGTTTGGCTAATGCTTATTGATAATCGCAGACAATGGACTAGCCGACTGTCATTGTTGTTGCCATTGTTGTTCGAGCGTAACCCATAAATACTCCGACGGCCAGTCAAAACAATCCAAGGGGAGTGGGTTATTAGGGGGAGTGGGTTACGTATATTAGGGGAGTTACGCCTTGCTTTGGCGCCTTGGATGAGAGACAATGAGCAAGGCGAATAAGCAACGCAATCGATAGGCACTTTGATTTTCGACTCGCACAAAACTCACCCCACCCACTTCCGCCAGTCTAACCCACTGGCACGCCCACTTTGGATGACTCCCGCCCCCCTTTCCACCTCCACCTCCACTTCGATGGGGCAACAACACTATTGTCCTTTTTGGGCGGGCGTGCAGCAAATGGCATAACTTCCGCTTTCGCTTGACTGCTGCAAAATTCACGGAAATTATCAATAAATATGCGAGGCCCGACCCGTAAAATGAATGAAGCTGGCAAATTTTTCGCCATATCTCACTGGCTGATTTTTATGCAGCACGGCGCACACAATCCAATGTCCAATGTCCTGTGTCCTGCGTCCTGTGTCCAGTTTTGTGCGCCCCATAACGGAAGCATCATTATCATAAATTATCATTTTGTAGGAATTGCATCCGCTGCGAGCCAGAAAAACCGAGCAATAACAACTGAAATGACGACAATTTCAATTGCCGGCATCGCTTCCTCTGTATCCCCATCTCTTTCATGCGCCCACCCCCTATCGTCTGTCTCGCTTGCACCCACCACACTGATTGGGGATTCCAATTGCCAAATACTTTTCTAGTTTAATGTATGGTGGACCAAAGTAACCAATATGCACTATTTAATTTTTTTTCTTTTTTTTTTTTTTAAGATTCATAAGATACTGGTCATATAGCTAAATTGACATTTAAAATAATATTTTTAAATTCTGAATAAAAAATTTAAACAAAACGCCTGCTTTATACTGTTGAATTTTACCGCTGATAATAATAATAATTAATAATAAATATTTTAAGATCAATAGATGTACATCTACAAGGTGATTGATTTTTCAGATTAACGCTCAAGTCACGTAGCCTGAAACGGGAACGTGATTGAGGTTACACATCAGCCGAGATCGGATAGTGAATCACATATGTGACATATGGACAGCTATATTATGGATGCCAACACGTCAAGATTGTGAAAAATACTTAACCCATTTAAAGTACCAGGAATAAGATATTTTTACATCCATTAACTAATTAGTGTGTAGATAAGCATTTTCTTACCATTTCTATAAACTTTAAAAGTTAATACTTAAATAAAAAGAGGATAATATTTGACAGTGACAACACAAGCTCAACCTGTGAGCCCTATTTCATTTAATAATTGTCAATCAAAGTCAATAAAAAACATGTTATGTCGTCTTTATCATAATAGATTTGTTTGCCTCCTCGGCCCCACCACTGTTGTGATCCCTGTGAAACGCGATGTTTTCAATCAGGCAATAGGCGGACACTCGGGCGCCGATCACCAACAGCAAATAGGTTATGTACATAACGATGGCGACCAGCAGAATGTCGTCCTTGACCAGAGATTCGAAGTTCATGTGGGTGATCAGCACGTGGGCGATCATCATTATAGTAACGCTGACCAAAAAGACGATAACAGCCAAATCGTACCAATAGTAAAATAGCTTGAGAATGTCCACCATGTTAATAATGTAGGCCAAAACGAATCCCATGCCGCCCACAACAGCCAGCTTGAAGGGATTCCCCGTGTATTTGCAATAGATGAGCAGGAAACAGAAGAATAGCACCGCTATCTGGTATAAGAGAGCCAAAACAATGACGATAATCGTCGAGATCAAATCCCATTCCATTAGGAAGCTGCCCGTGCCGAGAGTTAAGAACTCATAGCAGATGAAGATCGCTATGTAGTTGTAGGGCCTTTTGTACTTCAGAAATTCGACGAGGTGGATGCAGGTGAGTAATAAGAATCCAATGAGTATGCAGGCCAACGTGTACCACAAATGGTTATCCGCAAATAGGCATAACATCATCCATTGTGGCACTGCGAAAAGTACACACATTGTGAATACTACCACGGTGAAGAAGACAACATTGCCTGCGCTCATAGAATTAAAATCGTCCGTCATGGTTCAGTTTTGTAGCACTTTCGATGGATAGTCCCTAGAACTTAAATCACGATTGTCTCTCAGCGGAATTTTTGAACTAAAAATTTTGAACTTTTAAAAAATGATGTTGGCAATACAAATGTCGAAAAGGAAATGTGAAGAGGCAAGAGCGTTTATTAGAATTTAAAACTCAAAGGTAACATGATGCTGAATAGATTATTTTAAGCATTTTGAAAAGCATTGCTCAATTACGAGTATTTATTTATTTTTCATTTAGTGCCAGGTTTATTCAGAGGGATGTAAAATTAAACCATACTATTTCACTTGCCAGCTTCCTCATCCCAATTTAACATGTGGCAGCCGCAAAAGTGCCGACTCTGCCACACCTCTTGAGGGCTTATTCTTCATCATTTTTGGGCCATCAAATTGAGGCCCACTGAGCCCCTTTTGGAGAAGAAAACAAAAAATGAAATCAGAGAGCCGAAGCCCGAGAAACGCTACATAAATGAAAAAAAAAATAGAAAGAAATGTCGCATAAGCCGGCGCAGGACAAACTGCAAGGACACTTGAGGCTCAGCAGCGGCCGAAAGTCCTTTGAAGTTGGATAAAAACTCGAGTCCTGTGGGTGGGCCAGTTTGTCTCCAAGGAAATACGAAAATACGGATCGCAGACCAGCGGAGTGAAGGGAAAAATCAATCTGCGACTGCCATTGGTAAGGATATGAGAGGCTCTATAATACTATACAATAACAAATACCAAGAGGCGACCTCAGAGTCCAGGATAAATATGTGCTTACAGTAGAGGACACAAAAATAGCTTACAAAAAACCATTAACCATTAAGAAGTAGTAACTATGAAAGTGATGGCAGATTTTTATACTTTCCGCATCTCCTACCATATTGTTTAACTTAACAAAAATTAATCATAAAAAATACCGTCAAATGAAATTTTTCCCACATATATTGTAACAATATTTGTAGACATTTTTAGCAACGTTTGTGTTAATTTTTTTAGGCGATTACTATTATTTTCTTTGCAGTTGTAACTCGCTCTATATATAAGCATAATGAAATAAAAATAAAAGGAACTGTTTGGCTGGGAAATTGAATTGGAAATGGGCATCCAGAAACACACACGAATTGAATGCTGAAAAAAACCAATCAAATAAGAGAAAGCTGCGACTTCACCTGTCCCCGATTTCGTTCTTAATTTTAATTGAAATTTGTACAATATCTTTTTTTTTGCTCGCTGCTCTTGTTTTTGTTGTGGCAGTGCTTCTTTTTCGTATAATTACAAGCGATTAAAATCTGTGGAAATTTATTAAATTCCATAAATCAGCACTGGCAGGGTCCCAGGCCCGAGCTCGTTCGGCGGACATTCCCTTGACAATTATAAATTATGCGTTCGTTGCCAGGCGCAGCCACCTCCCTCGCCGAAAAATACGAAATTGCTCAACCACAAAATGTCACTTCACCCGTTTGCCCGTTGGCTGACTGACAATGACCGCTTTTTTTAACGTTCCTGATTATGTAATTATCTAGGTTTGGGTCTGCATCACCCACGGCTTCATCCACCGAAATAAAAGTATGCGGCTAACCCAACTGGAGGGTTAAGATTGTACATCTTTTTGGGCTGCAGTTTCCTGGGCAACCTGCTTTTTGAATCGGTGTGAAGGGGAAACCACAAGTCCATATGCCAATTAGTGGTGTTTATGTCAGGAGATTTGATTGCCTCATAAGTCCACTTAACAGACATCAAATAGAACTTAGATTTCTATTATATTTAATACATGCTTTTTATTAATCATCTATTAAACAAGCTTCAATTTTAACAATAATTGCTAAGGATTTATCTCGACAAATTACGATTCCCGGCAATTGTGACCCACAAAAATAAACTAGAAAAACAAATGACACAATAAAAAATAGGAAAGCGAAAAAAAGAAAAGTCCCGACCACAGACAGCAGTTAAATGATGCTACTTAGGCGATAAGAGCCGAAAAAACATCCTCCTCCGAAATCAGGACAACCCCAAGCGCGTATTTGTTTTGTGCGTTGTCCAAAACAATTTCCTTCCTTAATCACATGCTAACAGCGAGGGGAAGGCAGCCAAAAATGCATTTATCTGACCAAAGGACGAACAAATCAGCAAAAGAAACTCTGAAAAAAAACAAATATATATCTGGAAATACACAGAACATTTTTTTTTTTTTAAATTAGGATTAAAGAGGTTCCTTTTCATATTTAAGAATAAAATAGGTTGCAGATTTTTCTCACTCTGTGAATATATGGAAAACCCAGGGACAACGTTTCTAATTGTGAAAGATAAAAAAGCAAGGCAGCCAACTTCGGGCTGCTCGACATTTCTCGTTAGACCCGTCCACAAAAAAAGAACCCGGTGAAGATAAATGACAGGCAGCTTTTTGGGGAATGAGTTCCGTGGATTTTGGATCGGACTGAAGATTCGGAGTGGGAGGGAGTCCTGCGGTGTAAGAGTGTGTGTTTGTGTCGGAAGACATTTGCCGGCAACTGTAGCATACTTTCGAGTGTCTTTGAGCTCTCGGCACATTCTATGTGTGCCAACAGCTTGTCGAGTGCTTCACCACCCGCCAGCCCTCCCCACTTTTTAGGGGTTCGTTTTTTTTTAGGTATTTGTCCTATCGATGTCGCCATAAGTTGCCCAAACCCCTTCAGATGTCGTCCGCCTTGTCCGCCTGCCACAATTTCCCCGATTTCGCATCGCTCTCTGCTTGACCAAGTGCAAAATGTCAAGTTTCCCTGGTTCGCTTTCCTCGCTTTGATGTACGTTTGGATGGGAGGATGGTCGTGGCTATATGTAAATACGTCTAGATTATCGACTGCCGTGTAGTGTGTTTTAATCGAAAACACCACCCCAACCTACGGCAAATAATCTCGCTTAAAGCTGATTATTCATCGTAATGCGAGCTGGCTTATCGGCGATCTCCTCTGAGCCCGGAAATTAATTGAACTGCTTTGATTTTGTCGCTCATATGTTCGCATTTCTGGTGACAAAAAGTCGATTGATTAAAAAACGGCTTTTCCAGGACAATAAAAAGGTTCAATTTAATGAGAAAAAACTTCAGATAAACTAAAAAAACAAGAAAAGTAATTGAAGTATTTAATTAAATGAAAAAAATTTTGCAACTTTTGTTTCCCTAAAAATATATATATTTTTAAAGTAAGTTGAGTAAGCAGCAGATATAAAACTCGTTAAGAATTAAATCATAATTTATTGTCCACCCATCCACACATAAATAATCATTGGAAACCATCCACAACACACCAACTGATCATTTTCTCATGGCAAATTATCAAAGATTGATGATAATTAAATTTATTTATGGATGGCATATGCAACCCTCATTGGCACTGAATTTCCAGCAAACATCATTAGTATATCATACAAACCAACAAATGTGTTTCTTGGTAGGGGTGTCTTGTGTTTTGAAATCTAGGGTCACTGGGGAAATATGTCATTTGCCTTCTAAAATCAAACTTCAAATTGAATAATAAAATAATAGGTCACCACATTTCTAGGGGAAATGCGGGCAAAAAAAGGAATATTTTATGAAAAATACGATCTAATTATCTCAATTGCAACTATCACTGAACTTGACCTCCATTTAAATATGCGGGACATTTACCTCTTACATAACATGTAAATCCATTTATGGTTACGATTCTCACATCCTTATTGTTCACAAGTTAAGTTGGATTCCTTGAGTTGGGGTATTCAGGGTGGGAATAGAGGAAAGGCCACTTTTATTGGATTTTATTTTTATTGTCCTACATAAATTTATTTATTTTACGATATTTCTTCCTATTTTTTGTGGGCACATTGATATTTGACAGTTATTGCGGGTTCGGGAAACGCCCATTTTTTGTTTGCCTTTTCTGGAATGCAATTTTTTTGGATGGTTATTTGGTAGATTTTTTCTGAGGGTATGGGTGAAAAAGTTAGAAACAATTTTAATATAAACAATTGGTTAGTGAAAGCTACATGAACCTTTTTTATCGAAACGACATACTTCTTCAAATGAATCTTTTATTTAAGTAGTAAGCAAACCACTCTAGTTTAAAATATAAAAATAATAATAATATAATAAAAAGTAAATGTTTGTAGAAATGATTTAAGAATTGGCATTAAAAAGCGTGGGTTGTTAATGAATATTTCTTGCAGGACTTCTGGCTGATGAAGCTTGTGGACTGCTCCACGGGTCAAGGATATTAAACCGTGTACGACACCCTCGTAAACAGTTTTCACTCCCAGTCCTCGACCTCTCCAGCCCAAAACCCAAGTAGTCATAAAAAATCAGGGAGCGCACGTGTCCGTTTTTTTTTTTTTTTGGCTCTTTTATATATGATTTTTGGCCGCTTGCATGTCCAGGACCGAGATGCGTGAATAATTTTGTTGCAGGACCTTTGGTCACGCTGTGAATCAATCTTGCGGGCACAGGAAGTAAACAACTGCCCCCGTGAATCATCGGTGAATACGGGAATTAATGAATGCAATTTTCGAATATTTTACGAGAAAGTTCGCTGGGCACTTTTGAAGCTTGAATTTTATTAAAGCCTCCCCACGAGTCGCAACAAAATGGAGCAGATCCATTTGTCTGGGGTGGTTTTTGGGGGCGAAGGGCAAACTATTAGCGTTTAGTGCGCATGTTTAAGGACGAAATCCCCGCCAACAGGGAGCTGAGCAAACAGCAACACTTCCAAGTGGTTGCAACCCTGAGTAACTTTTTCTCCCTTTTTTTTGTATTTTGTTCCTGCGGCGCGTTCTTTTTTGCGCCATTTGTATTGGCATTTGGCAGCGCGTGCTCCAATAAGAACAAAAGGATTCCCCCGCACCCACGCACCTCCGCCCTGCGTCCGCCAATTTTGTTTGTTTGCATTTTGATTTCTTTTTTTTGTGGGTACTTCCGAGTCGGGAGGCCAAGATCCGCAGACAGCAGACACCGAAAAGGTTATTGAAACGGCACTGCGAAAAGGATTCTCGGGGCTTCAATATGTGAAAAGGTTTCCCTACAATTTTATTTAATATTTCCCAATTTTTCTGTTGATTATTTTTAAATTTATTTGATTTAATTTAATTTATTGAAACTTTCTGTGGTTTTTAACAAATAAAATGACTTAAAAATT